TAACGCCCTCCATGGGGCTCGGAACGAAATGCCCTGGAGCCCTGATGAGGAGGAGAATGGGGGTTCATCTAGAATCAGTTGCATGACGCTTTCTTTGAAGTGGTCCTCATGGCTGATAGGGAGGGGGTCTCGGACCAGGTGGCCTCTGAGCTGGGCCTTGAAGGTGAAATCACGGGGGAGCGAGGGCATGAGCAGCTGGCATGAGCCCAGCGGGGTGGTTGAGGCGGCTGGCAGGTCCGGGGTCCAGCGCATGGTGTGGAAAGAACCCAGAGATGCCGCCAGAGGCCAGGTCAGCGCCAGGTTCCTCCACCAGGGCGGCGCCAGAGAGCGAGGTGGTCAGATCTACAGTTCACACACACAACTCGGCTGTGTCCTGGAGGGTGAACCACACCAGAGAGCCCGCAAGCAGGGGGCCTGTTATGAAACGATCCTGGCGACCTGAACTGGGGCAGTGGCAGCGAGAACGGAGCGGCGAGGACAGAGTTGAGAGGGACTTGCAAGGACCAGAAGGCATAGTGACCGTGGTCATGGGGGCAAGGAGGGGGGGTGAGGGCAGAGAAACCCTTCAGGGATGACTTCGCATTCTAGTGTGAAGTAAGAAGCACAGGAAGAGAAGCGCGTTTGGAGAGAAAGATAATGGTTCGGTGCTATAAATATTACGTCTGCAGGAAGAATATCCAAGTGGGCAGTTTAGAATAGAATTCTGGGTAGACCCGTCCAGGGTGGTGGGGAGAAGGGACACTAGAGAAAGAGGAGGAAACGACACTTTGGAAAACAAGCCTTGCACATGTGCACGGCCCAGCTGGTTCTATGAAACAGAACCAGACGGGACAGGTCCCCCTCCAGAACCACTTCCACACCAGTAAACTCCTTCACTCGCTGCACTTAAGACGCCTGTGCGTTCGTCCGCACCTGTCCTCCCCTCCACTCAACACGCGCTGGTTAAGTGAGCGTCTACGCTGTGCCGGCGCTGTTCTTAGATTCTGGTCACACAGAAGTGCAAAAGTCAAAACCCTGCCACTGGGGAGTTTATGTTTTAGCACAGGAGACAGTCGATAAGCAAGTAACTGAATAATCTAAAATAGAATTTTATGTAAACAGCATCAGGAAAAATAAAGCAGGTAGGAGGTGAGAAAGTAACCAAGGAGGGAGAGGAGGGGGAACTCTTAGAAATCAGGTGGTCAGGGAAGTCATCGCTGATGAAGTGGCGTTTCAATCGGAGACCTAAGGTGGTGGAGAAAACGACGTGAAAATCTGGAGGAAGCGTGTTTCAGACAGAGGGAAGAGCAAGGACGGCGACCCTGGGGTCTGTGCCTAGAACAGGCCAAATGTCACAGGGTATCTTGTGACATTTCTGGCGCTTCTGTCTTGTGTTATTAACTACTTCTGCTGCAAAGATTTTCATGGATTTATAGCCTATCTTCCCAACTCCATGTAAGCCTACTAAGGGCAAGGTCCATGTTCACATTTCATACTCCCATGGTGCCTAGCACAATGCCTTGCACATAGTAGGTGTTCTTTCTCCATTCCTTTGTCTGTAATTATAGTTAGTGGTGATCTCTAGGCCTTTTTGTCCCCCTCTCCAACGCTTCCGGGCTAATCCCAGAGGCTGTTAACCATCCAACAAACCATTGGTGAGCAATGTCTAATACCGTTTAACCAGTAAGAAACTCAAGCCAGCCCTGACCAGTTTGGCTCAGTGGATAGAGCGTCGGCCTGCGGACCGAAAGGTCCCAGGTTTGATTCCAGTCAAGGGCATGTGCCTTGGTTGCGGGCACATCCCCAGTAGGAGGTGTACAGGAGGCAGCTGATCGATGTTTCTCTCTCATCGATGTTTCTAACTCTCTATCCCTCTCCCTTCCTCTCTGTAAAAAAATCAATCAATAAAAAAAAAAAAAAGAAACTCAAGCCATGTCCAGAGCGACGTAGGAAGCCCAGACGCCAAGATGTACCCTTACCGTCTGCAAACCTGGTGATTTCACGGGGGCTCTAGTATTGAAGATTGGAGTGTGAGGAAGTCCTGCACATGCTCAGAGAAGCTGCTGGCTTTGCCGCAGCTCTGTGCTTGCACATTACAATAATATTATTATTACCCCACCGGGGTGTCATGGGGATTAATGAGACATTTTCCAATCACTTTGAGCTACTCCGCTGGGGGTACCAAATAAGTGGCATGTGTTTCCCCTGAAGTGCCATGTCTGCCATTGATGTGTTGTGATGGGTTTTGCTGTCCAACAGGGCTGGGGTTCGCCCACCAACTCATTTCCTAGAAACAACAGACTAGCCGTCCGAAGGCGGTGGCTTTCCGTTGAAATAAATATGAAGCGAAGCAAACCAGTCAGCAATCAGAAGCAACCAGGCTGCCGTTAGAAATCTAGTGTTTGTTAAGCACTCGCAGCGGCAACATAGAAAACATAGAAGCCTCCCAGTGCGACACAGTACAGCGAACACCGGGCTCGGCAGTGGCCAAGATTTCAGGCCCCCGCCCTGCCAGGAGCTCCCTGGGAAATTGCTAAACTTCTCTGGTATAAAGGAAATTGCTAAACTTCTCGGGTATAAAGTAAGGGCTGTTCTATGAAGCTCAGAAGCTCAGAATCGGTCTTCCCGGTCAGGCAGCTACAGGGGAGGAGTGGAAACAGTCCTTTCTGAAGGAGAGCGACTGCACAGCAGGGAGAAGCTTGTGACCATCCATCACAGGACCGGCTCTGTTCTGGTCTTCCTTGCGGTTGATTAATATTAATTTCGGTACTAATTCCTGCAAATGGAGAAATAAATCACTTTCTAAGTCGGGCAGAGAGGTGCATGAAACATTGGGTCTTTAAAAATAGGGTCTTTGCCTTTCTAAGAGCCATCCTTGCCGTGAGCTCTCGGTCTGATTCTTAGATTTAAATATATGAATGATTGATCATCCTGCTCCCCGATCCCCAGCTCTAAAGCAGGGTGTTGTTTAGGGAGAGGGTTTTACATGGGGGTCTGCTTTGACCATCTGACAATATATGCTCCAGCCCGCAGGGCCTGGCCCTGACCTGGGGGTGAAGGACAGAGAAGGACATGGGTGCTTGCTGCACCCAGAAGAGGCAGAGGAAACCCCATGGAATTACCCGGTAATGTACCCGACGGTGAGCCCAGGGTCCCCTCCCTCCTCCTCCCAGGAATCCAGGGGTCCTGGGCTCAGAGAGAAGAAATGCTGGCCCTCCAGAGTGGATAGAAATGCAAAGGCTCACTTGTTGAGGAACTCAATTCAACAGACGTATAGGAGTTCCTACTAGGCGTCCGCCAGGCACTTTGGTGGCTGCTGGGAATGCAAATTGGGTAAGACCTAGTCTCTGCCCTCCATGACCACAGATCACCTTTACTCCAAACTTCCCAGCGAAGGCCTGATGGGTGCGGGAGTTGTCTAGACAACAGCTCCTCTTTTGTAAATGATTGGAATGGTATAGCAGAAAACACGTTTTTAAGCCTGGGGTTGACTCTGAATTGGATTTCCTTAAATGCCTGGAAACAGAAATTGTGTTCAAAGTGACCACAGCAATTTGGAAAACTAGTTTCGGTTCAAAGGAGATAAATATAAGTGACTATCTCCAGGCCAAAATCAAGCAACAGAGATACAAGGTTTGGACTGATGTCCTCCCAGTGTAACAGCTAAAGCGTGGCGAACCCCCTCCCCCAAGGCCAGCCGGGAAGCGTTATGTAGAGGGTTTATGTACAGCTCTCCGTCCCTCCCAACACAGACTCAAGATGACATGTGAATTTCCTTGGTCACTTCCCTCTCATTTCCCCACTGACAGGAAAGCTCACAGTCCTGTAAAGGCCCGGCTGCCCTCTCCAAGCCCGACCAGAAACAGGGTCCTGATTCTTCCCAGCGACTGGAATGGATCTAAGCTATGGAAGTTAGTGTGAACTATCGTCTTCAAAGCCAAGTCCCGAATGCCATTAATGACCCATTATCTTCAGACTCCCGGGTGCGAAACTCACCAGCACCCATGACTCCCTTCAGCTTCTCATCCAAACAGGAGCTGCGTTAGAGCCTCCGGGCCTGGAGGTCTTCCACCTCGGGGCGCCCACCCTGCCTGCCACCCGTCCCTGGACCAGGCTCCGGATCCAGGGCGCAATCCCACCCTCGCTCCTGGCCTGCCTCCGCCAGCCAGCTGACCCCAGGGCACCCTGCCTCCGCCAGCCAGCTGACCTCAGGGCTCCGCACAGCCCGCCTCCCCCGGGCTGGCCGAGGTGGAGACGCGGGGAGGGGAGGCCCGCAGCTCGCGGGGCTGCGGCGTGGGTCCAGGGCGGTGGAGCAGCCCTGAAACTGGGACGCGGCCTCGCGGGCCGGGGGCGCGCACACCGACACGCAGCGGGCTGGAGAGGTGCAGGGGGCACCCAGGCGCGAAAGGAGGGCGCCCTGGTGCCTTGAGGGGCCCCGACGGCAGCAGGGAGGTTCCGGGACGGTCGCTCTCCGCTCGAGTGTTCTAGACCACTTGTTCCGGCGGAAGTTGCGCGATCGTGTGTTGACCTGGTGTGGAGGGTGTCCCGAGGGGGCAGGGAAGCGCCTCTGCCCGGAGAGTCAGTATGGGAAGGGGGCCGAGCTTGGTTCCTAAAACTCGTCCCCGCACTGCGGCTACGTTCT